AAGTCTTCGCTGAAATTCCCTCTGCTATTTTGAGGGCAGCAACGGCAGAGACCCATCGAGATGGAATTCCCAGAAGCCACCTCTGCACCCGGCAAGTGACAGCCTCTTGCCCAGCACAGCCCGGCCTTACAGACACACCTGGCAAAATCAAAAGCTTGTCTCGGGCATTGAACTTGACAGCTGCAATCAGCTGCAAACCCCAGTTGCCCCTGAAAGGAAGATGCAGACACCTGGACCATATGGCAACGTCGCCTCCATCAAATGTCACATCTGATGTGCTCCCGAGCTAGCTGGTGGCACTGCAAAGCCCCAAAGGCAAGTTTCAAAAGCAAATGCTTTCCTTGGGAAAAGGAAAGTGTGGCAGAATCCATATCACGGTCGCCCAAGGAAAAAAATTGCGACTTCTGGAGCAGTTATGATCATCAGAAGTTCATGGGGCAGTTTACAGTGAAGTGGTAGCTTGAGTGGGAACCGGTGGGAGAAACCTGGAGCCAGGAATGAGCACCTGCTGTGTGCAACTCACTGCTCTAGGCTCTCAGAAAGCCGGTGCAAGCAAAATGAGACAGGGAGCGGGGGCCTGTTCCCTGGAACCTGGTTGGGAGAGACAACCAAACAAAAACCAAGCACGTAAACATAAAAAGATGAGTTCAGAGAGAGACAGGCGCAATGAATAACAGAAAACAGGGTGCTACGAGGGCCACAGGAAGCTTCTCCAAGGTAGTGGTCTTTTGACTGAGCAGTCAAGGTGAGACAAAGGGAGCCATGCAACGATTTAGAGGGAGAGCATTCCAGGCAAAGCGAGTGGCAAGTGCAAAGGCCCCATGAGGGGGATGGTTTGCATGATCTAGAAAGAGAGAGGCTGGGGGCTGGGCCAGAACGAGGAAGGGGAGAGTGGGAGGTGAGGGTGGAGGCTTGGGGGCCGGAGCAGGTATGGCTCTGTACCCAGAGGAAGGGGGAAGATGGACCTCCGGGCCGGGTTGTATCCCCCAGGGGACCAGAGATCCCAGCAAGTCGGGTGCCTTTCAGCATCTCACTTTTTCCATGCCCACTGGGAGAGCCATCACCCCTCCTTCCCAGGGCTGTGAAGTGCTGAGCAGAGACCTGCAAACACTAAGCCTTTAATAATGTCGGCTCGCTGACATCCCTCCTCCACCGTTCCTCCTGCCCGCAAGCCAGCCCACCACAAAATCAGAGCAGCTGTTCGGTGCAGAAATATTGCAAAACTCGACCAGGCATTTCCAAAATATTTTCTTGGCCAAAACCCCACTAGCAGCTAAGAGGCTGTATTCTGGAGACGGCGTTGTCTCCCCAGACGGCCTGATCAGGCTGCCTTTCTAGCCCGCGAGGTCTGCAAGGATCAAGTCCATGTGTGGCAGGGCCCCGCCTCCCCGTACCCCACCCGGAGTCTGCAGCTGGGTGCGCCCAGCCCGGGAGCCACCCCCTGACCTGTGGCAGCTCATCTGGCCCCCAGACAGGCTGGGTACAAATCCCAGCTCTGCTGCTGCTGGGCCTCACTTTCCCTGCCTGTAAAATGGGATAGCGTTTAGGATCAAATAAGTGGATAGATGTCAAGTTCTCAGAACATACACCAGGGTGAGAGTACTAACAGACCTGGTGGCACCGAGTTCACCTTGTCAGCCATGTTTGTACCCTGGCCTAGGACCCGGTAGAGCTGTAGGATTCTACCAAGTTGGCCCACTCCCGGCCAAGTGTCCCCTCTGTGGCCTGCACCTCTCCCCGACCCTGAGCCGGAGGACGTGCCACGCCTCCACTGGCACAGCGCCCGCGCTGAGCCCACTTCAGCTCTGGCCACACAACACGGCCTTGCTTGGGAGTTCCGCAGTCCAGAACACACCTCATTCACCCCCGTGTTCCAGAGCCCAGCATGGGCCCAGCCCAGAGGAGCAGCTTTCCCACTAAAGATGTGCTTAATAAGCGAATGAATAAGTGACTTTCATGGGGCCACAGCAGCACCCACCGGAGGGTAATTAAAGTGACCAAAGCCAAGTCCCCTCTGACGGCAGATGGGATCTTTTCCTTCCCGGCTTTACTGGAGTGGAGTCCTCAGTGCCCCTGCTGGCCCCTGGTGAAAGGCACCCCTGGCGGAGGTGCTGGGGGATCTGAGGAGCGTGGATTTGGCAAACCTCCGGGGGCCCCTGACAACCCTCCCAAGTCCCTTCCCCACCGCCTTCCATGGCTCCTCTGCCCCCAGGGTATCAGCATCTGGCTGCTTCGCTGTTCCTCCCCACCCCTAGAGGATCTCATCGTGCTTCAACTACCTCCCTTCCTACCCTACAAGACCCCTCAACCCCACACAGACCGCACCCCATGGCCACGCCAACCTTACAAGACCCCTCAGCCCCACACAGACTGCACCCCATGGCCATGCCAACCTGTCGTCTCCATACCCATCAGTCAGGGACACCAGGCCCTTGATTGCTGGGGCAAACTTCTGCACCCAACTGCCCCGCCCCTCGCCTCCAATCACACAAGCTAATGCTATGGGCACCCCCGTGGCGGGGCAGGCTGCTGACCTCCAAGTGTGCCAGGGCTCGCCCACAGAACCCAGGGGAACCTGTGTGCCGCGCCCCACCCCCAGCAGCCCTCAACGCCCGAGGGGATCTGCTGCCGTGCCTGGAGCCATCATTTGAACACGTGTGCCCTGCGCTGGCTGCCCGTGTCCCCTGGCGGGGCTCAGGGCGGTCCCCTCCACAATGGGTCCTTTCCGGACACCCGCCTCTCCCCACTCAGGCTGCCTTCCCCCTTCCTACTGGGATCTCGCTGCGGAACCCTGATCTCTCGATCTGCTTCTGGGAGAACCCAAATGAAGACATTCTGACAATTCTTCTGGCAGAGAGTTCTTGAACCCACCCACCTTTGTCTTCACTGCCGAAGGTCAGGCCGCCATCATCTCCCCCGGCTGCTCTCCCGGGTGTGGCCACACTGGCCTCTAGTCCTGGCTCTTCCTGTGCTGGGGGCGCTGTACCTGCGAGGCTCTGCCTGGAAGACCTTCACCTGGTTGGCTCCCCCTCACTCCTCAGGCTCCCCAGCTCCTTCCGAGCCCTGGTCTGGGCCTGAGACCGTCTTGTTAGTTCCCGAGTCCCTTCCTACTTTCTCTCTCCCCCTAGACCGTGGGGCCTCCGTCTGCTCTTGCTCATGGCTGTGTCTCCCAGGGAATGAAAGATGGATTTAGCAATTGCACGTGATGCTTCTCTCGTGAGGAAAACACTGCTTGGGAGATGAAGGGGGTGCCGGGGCAGGGGCAAGGGCTGTGGGAGCAGGTCTGGGGGTGGAGGGCTTCCGTAGCTCCCCCCACCCTGGGTGTCCTCGTTCTTAATTCCGGGGCTTGCTCTTAGAGCCAGACTGGGTCCCCTCCATTCCTTCTTCATTCTGGGGCTTCAAGGATTGGCCTTTCCTGCCCCCAAGACAAGCCCCATGGCCTCTTTCCACCCAGAGTTTCCTACCCATTGGGCAGGGAGCCCAGGGAGGGCCAGGCGCAAACAGGAGCCGATGGCGCTTGCACACAGCCAGGGTTCTCAGCCTTTGTCCCTACTACGTGCTTCCTGAGCCCGTCAGAGGGATGTCTGCACCCCTCTTTTATCCCTCAGGGGGGCCCTCCCCAGCTCCCTCCATGCCCTGGTTCCTGACCCCTTCCTCCAGGAAGCCCTCCACCCCAGCACAGACACCAGGCCTGCGATCTCAGCACGTGAGCCCAGGGCCTACCACCGCGCCACCCCTCGTTCCTCAGGCGCGTCACTGGCGCTCTGGCCCCCTCCCTGGGCCAGCACGTCCTTCGGAAGCCTCTTCCCCCAGAGTGAAGCCCAGACCTCTCCTCTCTCCCTCCCAGGCCGCTCCCTCCCTCCAACCTGAGCCATTTCGCCTTCAGTTCCCCCGGATTTGAGGTCAGACAGACCTGAGTGTAAGCCTCCACATTCTAGATTCAAGTCTCCCCCAAGCAGATGGTGAGGTCGGGGCTGGAGTGCGGGTGATGTTAAGGAGGTGCAGGGAAACTGGGTGGTCAGAGGGAAGGCGGCCAGCCCCGGGAGGGCTGCGAAGCCCATGACACGGGTCTGGAATTGTACAAGGGACCAGGCCAAACACAGGCCTGGGACGAGCCCACTCGGGGCAAGGGAGCTCCCCCGGCACCAGCCCCCTTCTGGCAATCGCAGGTGGCACAGAGATGCAGATATGGCAGCTGGAAGGCTCCGGAGCTTCCTAAAAGCCCTGAGAGATATGGGCAGGCATGGACGGCATCTGCTCCAACCACTGCCACAAGCAGCCAAGCTGTGTGACCTTGAGCGAGCTACTCCACCTCTCTGAGCCTTAATTTCCTCATCTGCAGAATGTGGCTAGTACTCCCAGCTGTAGGGGCTGGGGGTCAGCAAGCATATGAGACCAGGCACGAAAGGTGGGCGGGGGGGAGAGGTGGGCGTTCGGCAGGCTTAGCCGAGATGCTGCCGTTTTAACTTTCATCTCATGTTGGCTCTTTCTTTTTCCATCCGGAACAAGGCCCTTTCTCTCCTTTCACCTCCCTTTGCTTTCTGGTTCAGACATTTGTTTTCCTAACAGGTGTCCTAGATCCTGTCCATGGCGTCCCCCACAGCGAGGTAGATGACGACAGTGCATTCCAGGCCGCCAGGCGTCTCCAAATCTTGCCCTCTGTCACCTCCCTGACTTGGCTAGTTCGAGCCCAGAGTTGCCTCCCCTTCCAGCCAACCCAGCCTGGACCCGAGCTGCGGCTCGCCTGCCTGCCCTGAGGCACCCAGTGTCCCTCTCGCTTTCCCAGCAGCCCACTCCCATTGTGAGGTGGCCACGGCCGCTACATGCAGAGGACTTGCTACATGCCCAGGTGTTGGGTCTCGGTTTCCCCATCTGCGGTGTGTGTCTGCGGGAGCGAGCAGGGGTGCAGGGAGAGGTTGGCCTGGCTCATCTCCGGGGTCCCCTCTTCGCGGACGGCCCCCAGATCTGCAGCGCAAGCTCCCGCTGACGAGGCCACTTACGGGCAGGGTGTCTCCCATGGCGACAGTCTAAGTGAAGGTCTTCCTCCTCAAGCCCATCTCCCTTCTCGATCCTGGAAAGAAAAGGACCCAAAAGCCTGTGTGAGGAAGAGTGAGCTGAGCTGGCAGAGACCCAGGACCTGAGCACAAGTACTTTCCCCCTGAGAGCAACTGTGCAAAGTAACTCTGCCCCACCACTGCCCCATGGGAGTCTTCTGGCAACCCGGTTACATGGGCGTCGTTATCTCTGCGCTGTTGATGGGGAAACTGAGGCACTGGATGCCAATGAGACCAGTCAAGCGCCACAGAGCTAATAAGTCAGAGGCAGAGCAGGGACGCCAACCCACATGTTCTCACAAAAAGATGCTCCATTGTGCACCAACGGTATATGACAAAAGACCGTGCACAGTTTGATTTAAAAATTATACACCGGTACGCACACAAATTATTTGGCAGAATCCGTACCAAAAGGCCAATGGTAACTAACCCTGGATAATGAGAATACAGGGATTAAATCCAGAACCTTTTTGCTTCCATTTTCTGGTTTGGGGCCAACAAACTCCTATTAGCTGTGTCACTCTTCTTAACTAAATGAAAGCACTTCCTCCAGGTGTTTCTACACACAAAGCCCCGGCCTTCTGAGTTCTGGCAGAGGAGGTTCAAAAGGGGGCTCCTTCCCACTGCCATGCGTGCCTTCCTTCTCCTCTGCAGTCACTGCAGCTCCAGACGTGGCTGGCACTGCCATGTCAGCGATGCTGCACATGGAGCAGAGGCTGGCAAGGGTCTGGTGGGGACAGCGGTGCAGCTGCACCCTCCCCCCCACCCCAGCTCCGACCGGGCCTGCGACTGGGCAGGGCCGTGCTCCCACATGGCACTTGCCCCTTTGTAACCCAGATAAATGGCAGAGCTCCACGTGGTCTGGTCCGGGTGGGCGTCACCTTTCCAGGAGCGCAGTCTGGCCCCCAGAAGCAGAAACGGTTCCAGCCATCATGGTGATTCTCATCTGTGGCCGGACGTGCTGGCACTGATACCCTCGTTTGTCTCATGCAGGGATGGGGCGGTCCTCTCCCAGGCAAATGCCCCACCCCTGTTTTCGGACTCCTCCTAGCGCCTCATGTCTAGTTGCCCAGTGTGTCCAGAAGGGTGGGGCTGGAGCAGGTGACACGGGAAGGTGATGGATGACCTGTAGCAATGCCAAACGCCCAGCAGAAGGGACAGTAATACTCAGGCACTGATTATTTTGGTTCCCTCAGACTGCTCATTCATTCATTCATTCATTCATCCAACAGGAATTTCCGGAGGACCTGCTCTGTATAACCTATGCCAGATGCTGGGTCCACCACAGAAATGTCCAACTCATTTCACAGTCTCTGCCCTCCGTAAGCCTCTGATAGGGTAGGAAGGCAGCCTGCACACGAGTCAGAAAATGACAAGCATTGGGGCACCTGGTGACTCAGTCAGTTAAGCATCTGACTTCAGCTCAGGTCATGATCTCACGCTCTGGGTTCAAGCCCCACATCAGGCTCTGTGCTGACAGCTCAGAGCCTGGAGCCTGCTTCGGATTCTGTCTCCCTCGTTCTCTGCCCCTCCCCCACTCACGCTCTGTCTCTCCGTCTCAAAAATAAATAAACATTAAAAAGAAAGAGAAGAAAATGACAAATGTTGTATATGCCACCCAACGTTGCCCGCTGTACCGAGGGGCTACGCCTATGCTTCCCAGGGAGCAACGTCTGGACACATTTTTTTTTGTTTTTTGTTTTTTAACAAATATTTTCTGTGGCCTGGGTGGTTACAAACACCAGAACAAAGCCGTAAGTGTTGAAGTTATAGGAAGGCAGGTATCCTATAGATCGTCCATGCTATGAGAAGGTTCTGCACAAGAAAAAATGTCCTTCTTTCTTCTTTTTTTTTTTTTTGCATCCCTTAGTAGAAGCATCTTTTTTATTTTCCTGGTAGTACAGGCCGATTCAAAAAACAACAATACAACAACTCCCACTCAAAAGTTTCCCTATACTGACATCTCCATGTAACAGGATCACGGTTAGGAGTTTAGAGTTTCTCTTTTCAGAACTAAACATTTTTTTAACATATATAGTCTCAAGTGAAACATGCTTTTGTAACCTGGTTTTTTCTTACCCACAATTTCTGACACCTTTCCATAAATCTCACTCGTCATTTTCCTCGTATCGTTTGTGGAAGAATAGTTAACATTCAGTCCCCTACTGACAGACATCTCGGGGTTCTCCAGTTTCTCGTGCTTCTAATGCTGCAGGTGTATTGGGCAAGATGCTAAGTCCCCCGTCCTCAGAGGTAATCAAGGCTAGATTATCACCACTCGTGAAACCGCAAACACTGAACAGAGGCTGGACCACACAGCTGAGCCCATCCCTGTCCCAGAGGGCCATCTGCCTGGCCATGTCCAGTGACTCTGGGTCAACAGATGCCTGCCCTGTCCTGTAATGGGCCTTAAACATCCTCCTGCGTTTCACAGCCTTAACCTTGAACCCATTGCTCGATCTACCCCAGGCTCCTAGTTCTCATGGCTTCTTATGTTCTGAGATCATTCTTCTCCAGACCTCATGCTCAGCACCTCCTTGGGCACTGCTGAGACCCTCAGCCCTGGGGAGAAGGGTCAGTGAGCAAAGGGGCTGGTGTTTAAGGAGAGAACCAGCCCCACCTGGTATGGCTCCTCCCGTCCCTGGTCACCCAAACCACGAGGCCAAGGAGCCCAAGTGCAGTAGCTAACGTATCAAAGAGCACCTCCCAATTAGTGAGCATTTGCTGGGGCCAGGTCTTGTGCTGGGCTTGGAGGCCACAGGTGCGGCTCAGAGGGGCCTCTGTCCTTGAGAACCTCAAGCCTGCTGCACACATAAACAAACAATCGTAACTTAATATGTCAAGTGCTGGGCTGGAGAATGTTAATTCAGAAGGTTGACAGCGTGCACAACTGCCTAGACCGGGTGTTGGCAAACTTCTCCTATAAAGGTCTCGATACTAAATACGTGAGGCTTTTTCGGTCATACGGCCTCTGTCCCAGCCACTCAGCTGCCCCTGGGGCCGCAGAGAATGTGTAAACCGATGGGTGTGTTGTTTAGTTCCTTCACAGCAGGTGGTGGGCCAGATCTGGCTCCCTGGAGACAGTGTGCTCAGCCCAGGACCTATTCTCCGGCTCACGTTACCCGGGAGGTTTAAACCACCAGGCGGCACTAACGCGCAGCCAGGGCCGAGAACCGCCCGTCGGGACCAGCAGAGGCTGCGCCAAGGGAGCCTGCACCCGACCTGACCTTGGAGCCGCAAGCTGGAGGCCAGGGGACCTGCTCATTTCTCAGACAGGGAGCTGGACGCACCGTGCGGCCGTTCTGGAAAGAGCTGGCTTCCTGGAAGCCCCAATGCAGCCCTGTCTACCTGAGTCATCAGTGAAAGTAACAGGCTGCAGGCCCTCATGAGGGGCTACGGCCTGGCCATGGTTATGGGAAGGGCCGATGACCCTCCCGGAGCCCCCCAGTGCTTCCCAGCAGGAAACACGTGAGGACAAGGGGATGCTTTGGGCACAGCTGAGCCCTGGGCCCCGCAGTGAGGAAGGATCGTGGCTGACGGCAGCCCTGGTCTCGTGTGGCTCACCTGAATCCTATGGTCTGGAAGTTTCTATGTGGCAATGGGCACACGGCAGTAAACTTGACAGTAAGGACAGCACGTTGTCCCGCTGGTGGCTGCGAAGCCCGGAGCCCGGCACCCAATGCAGAGCAAGGACTCCAAACAGGTTCACCACCACTATTCCTAAACTTGCTTAATCGTTCTTCCCCGGTACACGTTGGAGTCCGAGAGAAGAGGATGGAGTCTATCTCATTCCCCACTCGGACGCCTCAGGGTCTAGCGCGGTGCTTGGCACTCAGCATCCCCAGGAATGTTAGCCAGGAGGGAAGGGAGAGGGGAGAGAGAAGGCGTACAGACGGCCCAGGGCCCAAGATCAGCCCATGTGGGGAGCATCCGGGGTGCTCAGCACTGTGTGGAAAGAAAAGGAACAACGGAAAACGGCAGCAGGTGACAATTATATTTGACCTGAACTATGGTTTCCTGCAGGAAATATGTGCTTTTGGAAGACAGGCTTTTTATTTTTAATGGTGGTGTGAGAAATTACCCACAAATCCAAGTTGGGGCCTTGATGGGAAAATAGGGGGTGCTGGGATGGAAGCAGTACTCAGAGGGGGGGGGAGGGGCAGTGAACCCACCATGTGCGTCCCTCTGCGGGTTCTGGGCGTCTCTTCCGTGACATACTTGAGTCTGGACATGTCCTGATCACCTATGAGTCTTGATTTCCTCCTCTGGTCAATGGGCACAATAACGTACCTGCCTCTCTAGGCTGCTATGGGATTAACTGCAGGATTCCATACTGTTTATAGAGAGTTCTTAGCAAGACCGTTATTACTGTGGTCACCGTCACCCTCATGTCCCGGGGCCTTTATGGTCTGTCCCTCTGTGACTCCACCTCATAGCTCCTGATGTGGAAGGATGGTATTTTAACATATTCACCATCCCCACCCCCTAGAAAGAGCCACACACCCCTTCCTTCCATCCACCCATCAGTCAGACTGGAGCCACGTGCTGCCTCAGGAAGGGGGTATTTTGGAAGAAGCAAAGGCTTCAAGGCATCAGACATTTCTGGATTCAGAGCAGAGGGGACCCACAGGAGGAGGAGGAGGAAGAGGGGCGAAGGAAGAAGGGGAGGGGAGAAGGGGGACTGGAAGGGGGAGGTGGAGAGAGGAAGGGAGGGGAAGGGGGAGGAGGGAGGGGGAGGAGGGAGGAGGAGAAGGGGAAGAGGAGGGGGAGGGAAGAGGGAGAAAGGGGATAGGAGTGAGAGGGGGAGGGGAGAGGGGGAGGGGGAGGAGCCTTCCACCCAGAAAAGACAGAGTCTTCCCAAAGTGGGGACGAGGAGAGTCAGAGCAGAAGCTGACGGTGCCTGGATGCGGAGGCCGGTGCCCAGTGAGGAGAATGAGCCCCAGGGAAGGGCGGCAGGAACCTCGCACGAGCGCACACCTTCAAGTGCAAGAGGAAGAAACTCTTAAACTGTCCAAGT